TAATATAGAGTCATTCTTTTCCTCGATTCGGGATTAAAATTGGTGACTTGGGACACCCTAAAACCTCCCAAGTGGCGACTCTAAAATAAATAAACAAATCCCGTTTCGATTGTCCTTTAATTGAAAAAAACTCCCTTGCACCCCCGCGGGTGCGTAAAAAGGAGGTGTGACACTAACAATCTAATCGGTTACAATACTTTTTAAGGCTATTGCTATTCATCATTCTATTTAATTGAAAGGGAACAAATATCTTTCATAGCAAAATAAAATAAGCTGAAATTCCAAATAAATGTCTAATAAAGAAGAGCCGTCGTTGTCTGTTTATTGGAAGGAAAGACTCAGAATGAGAGATGATGAGCTTAAAGTTAGGTAATATTTATGCCCACTTTGCGTCTTTGATTTAGTTTATTTGATAGCGATTCGGTCTGATTTGGGTCTAATAAGTTGTCTTTCAGTGCAGGTGACGCAGAGGGGATCAATAGACGGATAGTGCACTTAGTGGGAGGAAAACCGTTGAGCGAGAAGAAATTTTCGTGCGCGGCCGTGCACGATCAACCCCCAACGCGCACTAAGTGCGCAAGTGTTATAGAAGTCTTCCAAAGGTGCGCGGCCATGAGCGTTGTCATATTCCTAGGTGCGCGGACGCGCACGTCCATCTCCGAGAATTCGACCCAGGCCTAATTTTGTAATTCTGGAGGTAGCCTTTTGACCTATATGAAGCCTAGATCGTCTCAAAACAAAGTGTGCGGGATTTTGGAGCAATTTTCGGAGAGAAGAAGATAAGGAAACAACGGAGACTCTTAATACTTTATCCAATTTATTCAATACGCAAGTTTGTTTCACTACAAGAAAGTGAGATATGACGACATTTAAAAAATGTCGTATTATGTTGTTTAAATGTCATAAATTTATTTACCGACATTTAATTTACATTGGCATCAAATGTCATTAATTTCAATGTCGGTAATTTTCCGACATTTAGGTAAATGTCGGTAAGAAATTATGACACTTACTTTACGACATTTAGGTAAATGTCAATAAGAAATTATGACACTTATTTTACGACATTTAGGTAAATGACGATAAGAAATTTGCGACGCTTACTTTGCAACATTTAGGTAAATGTCAATAAGAAATTTATGACATTTAATTTATGATATTTAGGTAAATATCGATAAGAACGTTATGACATTTGGTTTACAACATATAGGAAATGTCACTTAAATTTTTCGATAATTAGATTAATGTTACTAAAAAAATATGACATTTACGTATGATCTTCACAAAATGTCATATTGAAATATCCGACATTTTGGTTAAATGTCACTAAGAAAATTCATAACATATACAAAATATAGTTTTCACTTTATGTGAATGTCATTAAAAAAAATTAGTGACATCTTTTACAACATAGAAAAATGTCGCATTAAATGTTTTGACATTTAAATTAATGTCGCCATCATATTTTTTAGAATGTAAATAATAATGTTTTGTTTTGTTTCATCATGAACACATTTACATTCACAAATGTCAACTTTTATAACAAACATGAAATAAATGTAAAGCAAATATCTTTTAGCACAGTAACCAAAGAACAAAATAGCAATATAAAACGTACTTAGTACAAGATAGATAATGTCAAATTAAATGATTTGTTCTCACGTAAAACCCAAATCTAACTAAATCATAAAAGATAGTAATTTCAATGTGTAAGTACTTTAAGATCGCTCCTAATTCGAATTAATTTTCCTCAACTTCTAGACTAAATCTTATAAAATCAACTCTCCACAAGTCAAGCTTTTCACTACCAGTAATTGACATCACTTCCTTCAAGAATGATGTACAAGAAGTCACAAGAATAAAAAAAAAGAATTATACCTTTATAATAAAGTGAATTCTTTCCTCCTCTAAAACAATTGGAATACCAAAAATAATAACGGATTCATGTTCTAAAAGAAAAACAAAATAATAATGAATATAATACTAGCAACTGAAGAGAGAAAGAAACAGACAACATAAAGCAAAAAATCCAAGAAAGTGAACGCAACCGCCCAAGAACCTTGTAATTTTTTCACACTTACCCGCTTTTTTTTCTTTGTGTCAACTTCACTAACTCTAGTCTTCTTGATTATGTTAACCTGAGAAGAAATACTAGACTGGTTACTATGGTAGTTTAATTTACAACTTAAAAAATTGTGAATACAAGATATTAAAAAACAGAACAAAGTTATAATGATTTAAAACACAACTATTTACTTACTGTCTAAACAGGATATTAGTAGACTAAAATTTGCAGACATAAATCAGAGAGTGAACATGCTAGATTCACTAAATTACACATGGTATAGATACATCAAGTTTCATTCATCATTATGTATTGACAGTTACACAAAACATACTAAGTTATGGAAGAGAACAAATATGTACCAAATAAAGGTGTGAAAGCAAAAAAAAAATGGTGGGTTCAGCTACCAGAAATCACCGGCAAACAGCAATAACTCTTTAAGTTAAATTACTCCTCAAACCCAGAAATACAAAGCAATTAAAACCAGGATTGAAAACAGGTGTTGAAACCCTTTTTTGTCCTATTTTTTCCTTGTTTTTGAAGCTCTTTGTAATTTCATATCTCATCTGATGTTTTATGGCTGCTGAGAATGAATCCCTAATGAGGATAAGAGGTCCTATTTATGAGCTCAACTACTAGGGCTTTTCTTTTTGGGCAAAAATATCTAACAATAAAGGCCATAACGCATTGTAACACCCATGTCCCTTGCCTTCTCAAGGAAAAAAAAGCTATACGACAAAGCTTATGAATTGACGGCCTCTACTGTCATGGTAGAAACTGTTAACTTGCAACTCAACACTAACATTCAAGGGAGGAGAGATAAGAATTAAGTGGAGAGGCTACTCCATTATCTCCTTACCACGGAGATGTAATCATCCTTCATTTCATGTTGTTTGGTACAACCAAAGGGAAGTAAATAACACTCCCTTCTAATTCTATCGAATTAAGGAAATAAAAGACTACATGGAACGTTATGAAAACATCCAGTTTTACTTCACCTCCTCCTTTATAACAGAAAGAACATGGAATGTCTCTTACATGTCCTCTTTTTACTTCCCTAACCTGCCTTTACTTTTCTGATCCCATCCAAAAGTGTACAAGCAAACATGTGCAGAATGCTACCACTTGGATCAACCCGCTAAGACAGAGTTTTGTGCATGCAGATGAGCACCTTTAAATCCTGGTAAAGCAGGAAAATCTTCCAGGTTCTACAAGAGGCTAAATACCTTATGTAGGAGGGTAAAATCATGCTTGATGGGAATCTTATCAATTAACAAAAAGAAAAAAGAAGCTAACTTATTCACAGCTGCAACAGGAATGCCACCATCATCGTCAAACACAATTTTAAGAAATGGAACTCCATCCTTGAGAGAACATACTCATAATCTTTTTTACTGCAAAATAGCATCTATACTTTAAAATGCTATTTTGAAACTTTACGTAACTAAAGTGAAAATTGACATAGTTAAAACTATACTCTTCGAATGTATGCAGAAAAATATTTAGTTAAAATGAGTTTACGAACTCACCATCTTTGTGTGAACAAGTGAAACAGGTGATAGTGATTGTTGGTGATCGTCCATTGAGTTATCAGAAACCTATCACAAAAGAGGAAGATTACTATAATTAAAAGAAAATTAAATTACAAGATTATCTTAAATACAATAAATTTTTGCTAAAGAGCACAATATTTTTTACCTGCTCATCACCAGATAATTTCTTAATTGAGCCAATAGTAATACCCAAAGATTTTAGATATGCATTTATACCTAGCTTTACTTTATCTTCTATTTTTGCATCCATATCCTTTGATGCTTCTAACATTTTTTCCTCCATCGCTTTTATTTCTTCTTTTGATTCAAATAACTTTTTCTCTGTCGCTTCTATTTCTTTTTTTGCTTCAGACAATTTTTCTTCCAATGCAATTCTCATAACGGATGTAGCTTTTTCAACTTCTATCTCAACCCTTCTATCAAAATCTCTTTGCTCAGCCTGGGATCGCTTATATGCAGGGCCATAAACATACAATCATTTGAACACGCAAGTATTTTTTTGCATTCGAGTCCTAAATCTTTAATAATTGTTTTTGCATCATTAAAGGACTTAGGTAATATTTCACCTTTAGGAAACACATCTTTTAACAACTCTAACAACATGGAAAATGAATTGTTACTCCACCCATTGAGATACTTTAAATATAATAGACGAACAAGAAAAGAAAGAAGTGAATATTTGCTTCCAGGATATAATTCACGCTCAGCTTCTTTCAATAAGTTAAAAAACTTTTCAGTTTTCTTATCAAATCCCACATTATGTTGATTTGACCCACCAAAACTATCACCACGAATGTCCATATTAATAAAGTTACTAGTAGGAGGAACTCCAAAAGCATCATACACAAGGCTTTGTATTTCATCACCTATATCTAATCTATCCACAGACATTGATGAAGATGATGTCTCACCATGAAAAATCCAATTAACATAACTAGGTAGAAATCCATCAACCATAATATGTTCAACAATCAACTCTTTCGGGATAAATTTCATATTACGACACTTCCGACATATACACAAGATTTCAGATGCATTAGGCCTATCTAATGAGGCAAAATGAAGAAACTTTTTGGCTCCGTTCTCATATAGAGGATCATTCCTATTCAATATGTTTATCCAACTCTTATCCATTAAGAATAACCTATACATATAGCAAAAAAATCAACTAAAAAAGAGTACTTATAGGTACAAATTAAAAAGAGTATATCACATAATACGAATATATATTATAATTTATATACTTTACTAATGACTATACAAATGTATTCATTCAGAGCATGAAAAAAAAAATATCTAGTTTCTTTATTTTTTTCAAGTGAATCTTACAAACTAGTTCACTCTATCGCCACAATATTTAATATTTTATCATGACTAAGCATAATTAAACTATAGAATACCATAATTGACATCTTGAGTAAATATAACTTTTAAAAAACAAGTATAAAATTGATGTTTGATTGAACTTAATTTAGATCTATTTTAGATTGAACTAGTAAATGAGATCATACTAATCCAATCCCTTTAAATAGTACCATTATTTCTATACATAAAGTTTAAGTATTACAAACATACTTTGTAAGCAAACTTAAAGAGCCTAAAAACTAGGAAAAAAGAAACCTAGTAAGTATTTTTAGAACACAAAAATCTCATATTTGAGATATGGAAAAAGCAAAATAAATTAAAGAAATGTCCCAAAAAATGAACTTTCTTCCCTCCATCAATTTGTCAAACTCTGTCTCATCCCCAAATAAGTTAGAGTTGCCTATAAAAATATATATTCATTGTGCTCGTTTATTATTTATATGTTCTTTTATATATAAATCGATATATTATTTCTATGTTGGTCAAATACCCTACTCGACTATCTTCTTTTATCATGTTAAAAAGATTAACATTCTTCAAAAATAAAATCTGAACAACTAAGAACAATAACAACAATAACAACAACAACAAAAATAAATCCAGTATAATCCTACTAGTGGGGTCTAGGGAGAATAGTATGTATGAAGATCTTACCCCTACCTAAAAGGTAGGGAGGCTATTTACGACATACCCTCGACTCAATGCAGGACATAACTATAATGAATAACCAATTCGTACTATTATCAAATAGGAAATCAACCCGCAAACTCAACAAAATGAACAAAGTATCCGATAATCAAGATACCATAATCCAATTAAACTCTCAATGAATGATGAAATAAGAAAACATATATCGACAGATGAATCCACGCACTAACAACAACATTCAGGCATATATTACAGGTCTAAGAATTGGTTCTAGTAATGTGACTATCGCACGAAATGGTAATGACATTAAATTCAGTTTTCCAGGAATGAGAAGGAAACAGATGGTGTAAGCCAATTATAGTATTCCATAACATTTCATTATACCACATGTGCTTCTCCTAATTCCAGCCTAACAAGACATTTTTGCAGGCACAAATATAAGTCAAAAAACTGGCTTGCTTCTCTCTGTAACAATTGACCAACATACACAGAGGATACACATTTACCAAATCATACTCGAGTCTATTATACAACTTAAGACTTGATTTCATATGAATGCTAGAGCACAGAAAAAGACAAGTAAATAATTAAATCAACATATTGCAACACTGCAAACTTTTAATAAAGATTGCAGTTTCCCCTCATAAACAGTTTATCTGGCGCCAACAGAGGATTCACCGCTGTTTTTCTTATCAATGAAGAAGGCGCTGTGGTATCAGTGGTTAATAATAAAATCTTTAGAGATGGATTAAACTATAATTACCCCAATAAACCAAAATCAAATCAAAAACAATCTAATAATCAATATCTAAAAGATCTTTTGTATAAACTGACACAACTATATAGACAACAGAAACCTTTACTCGATAAAAATTAATATTAATATATTTATTAAAAACAGCAAAATGAGGTACTCCGCACAAAGATTAACACCAAAATTTCTCTCTCTCACACACACACAAAAAAAATGCAAGATCCAAATTTTTGCAACCACACAGACAACAAAAAGAATAACCAATTAGTTACTATACAATAATTAACGCTTTAATCACCAAGAAATTAATAATCTAATTGAACTCTAAGCATAATCTACCACTAAATAATGAAAATCTTATATCCAGCTTTATAAATGTACTAAACAATAAACACCCAGAAACACACCCAAAAAATCAAAATCAATCTACCAATCAATACCTAAAAGAGAAAATTGTTAACTCAAATCCGAATAATTAAGAAAAAGAAAGAAATTTGTTAACCCAAATCCGAACAACTAAGAAAAAGAAAGATATTTGTTAACTAAATTGGGTACCTTGAATTTGTAGAAAATAACCTTTGTGAATCTCAGCAGCAAAAGCCTCAGAGATTTTCGTCTCCAAGTATCTATTATAGCACAGTGGAATGCAAAAAATTAGGTTTTTTGTAGAATTCTAACTAAGGAAGGAAAACTATATTTTTTAGAATTGGGAGGAGGGAAGCAAAATTCTTACCGCCAAAATCTTTTCCTTCTAAATCTCCAATACTCTCCATACATAGCTCCTTTTGAGTCTTGGGGTGGAGGGAGCGGACTTGAGAAATTTTGGCTAAACCCAATTTGTGATTTTAAGCCAAAATTGATTTTAGATTGAGAGAAGAGAGGGGATGGGTCCTGAGGTGCTTGTAAGGCTACGACTTTCTCAAGTTTGGTTAGTAAATGTTGGTTCCTTGATTTCATATATATTTTTGTTTTATTTTAAATATTTCATCTTTAAATCCAACATCTAACAAGTAGTAGTAATAATAATATATATTTTCACTAAATATTAATATTTTAATATATATATATATATATATATATAATATATATATTAAAAGTTTTAAATCGGAAAAATATTTTAAAAGCGGGGCATATGACGTGGGCATTTCACTTAATATCGGGGGAGGTGTTAGCATCATGAATCATTAAATTTTTTAGTTCAAGAAATCAATATATATATAATAAAAATATAGAAAATGCATTAAAAGTTTAAGAAAATCAAAGGATTAAGGAAACTCATAAAAAACCAAAATATCTAATATGTTTTACAAGTATAAACAATGCAATAGTGTTAAAATTGTTATCAAACTACATATTTGATTATTTCCCTAAAAGGCCAGAAGTTATAAATTATTATCAAACTACACATTTAATTACCTTCCTAAAAGTAATAATCAATAAACTTTATCAATATTATAATTCAAAATATTACTCCTTCAGAAATAAATACAAAGTATTAAAGTCTCTTTTGGTAGACAAAAAATTAAGAAATAAAAATCAATAGCGAGTGAAGATATACAGTTCGATTATCTATATATTCAGAGAAAATGTTCAAATAATATTAACTCTCACGATGTTTTCACTTAGTAAATACTATGACTCGTTATTTGAGTTAAGATCATTCATTTGTTAATGTATTTTGAGGGTCTACACCATTAATTAGAAAATTTAACAGATGATTTACCTAGTACTTATTGAGCGAGCCCAAACGCTGAGCGATAGGCATGTAGGGTGCATAATCTTATGTTTGTGGTGCATGTAAGCCTCACAAATTAAGCCCTACACTTGAGCCGCCTCAAGGCATTGTGCAAATGCCTCACCCATGAGCTAGTCCTGGACGAGCCTTTTAAAATATTAAGCAACAAGAAGAGAAATCGTCTATATTGTAGGTAATTATCACAATATTTTAACAAATTAAATATTAAATATAAAGGGTGTGATATTTTTTATAAGACAAAGAATGATTTAAAATTTAGAAAGTATAGAGAAATTTTCAATTGTAGATGTAAATGTTCGTAATTACCGACAAATAATATGACATTTAAAGTAAGGTCATATTTTTTTGTCATTTGTATTAAACAACATTTAATATAAGTGTCGTATTTTTACTACAGTTTGGACCAAATGTCATTGTTTTTATGACATTTTATACCAAATGCTGTCCTTTTTACGATATTTTGTATCAAATGTCTAATTTTTACGATATTTTGTAGCAAATGTCATACTTTTTATGACATTTCTTAAGAAATGTCATTATGTTGACGACATTTTGTATCAAATGTCGTTGTTTTAATGATATTTCCTATCAAATGTCATTATTTTTACGACATTTAGTATCAAATGTCATTGTTTCTATGACAATTAATGTTAAATGTCGTAGTTTTACGACATTTTGTCATAAATGTCAAAAAAAGAAAAGTTTCCGACATTTATTTCAATAGTCACTAAATAAATGTCGTTGTATACTCAATTTCTTGTAGTGTTTGATTTTGGAAATTGTAATGTTTTCTTATTTTCCTAATACTCTTGTAATGAACAACTTCTCCACTATAGAGTAATCTTTCTTAAGGTTGTGAGAAACTAGGGTTTCTGGAAGAAGAGGTCATTTTTATCAAAAAATGAGGACAATTTTCTCTTAAGAAGAATGTTATAGAAAGCTTGAAGATAAATTACGAGTTGAGTAAAGAGAGTTGGAGGAAGTTTGAATAATTATGAAGTGTAAATGAAGAAGTTTGATGCGTATAATTAAAGGAATATGCGGCTAAAATTGTGGCCATAATTAACTCGATAACCGACAAAAGTGATGTTCAATCGTAGGATGCCACGTTTTATGGGCATTAAATGCGGAGAGACTTGTGTTTAATCAACTATCAGAAACTTTTCAGAGGGTGTCAGAGTATTTCCCACCAAGAAAGGTATCTCTACCAACTTCCTGGTGACACAAAGTTAGGCTAGGGGAAAGCAGGGGGACTGTATGTATGGGGTAAAATATGTTCATATTTAATTATCGCATGAGAAAACGAAATGTGAAACCGAAGACAGAAGATAGCCAAACCCGAAGGCAATGATCCCGCTTGTCATCGGAGAGAATGATACTCATAAAGACAAAATAAATGTCGTCATCTGGTAGCATTCAATGAAGAATATTCTACAACATTAAGTACATGATCCGTTATAGAGAATAAGGCTTTCACTGCCTACTGTTACACATTCTTCAATGGCCCTCATAATTGTCATTAGGAGAATAATCCTTGGACCTTGTTCCCTAAGTGTAATTATAAATAGTGAGCTCTATCATCATTGCAAGGGAACAAATTTTCTGACAAGCATTCATCAAAAGCTCAAATCACATTTTGCTTTCTTGCTTATTTGCATTGTTCTTATTGCTCCCGGTATCTCTGCGC